ATCTGTGGTTTGTGGAGGCGTGTTGGAATTCGGAAAAGCGGGGATCGAAGAAAAGTAGAGACAGCCCTGGTGGCAGAAAGTGTTTGTGCTCCCGCTGGGCGAGAGACAAGCAGCAAGTGCATTTGAGAGAAGGAGAGGAGTAGCAGAGATAGCAGCTTTGAGGAGCAGCAAACACGGAGTGCCTTCTAGGATTTGATCGATTTTAGCGCGGTAGGAGGCCGTGGCGGTACCAACCCGTGACGGTGCGGGCCCCACTTTCACGAGGTGGGGCCGACAAGGGGGGGTGGCGAGCTTGGCACGGGAGCGAACGCCTTCGCGGACAGCAGAAGGACAGTAGCGAGCGTGGGAGTTCCCCTNACCACTCACGCCGAAAAGTCACAGTCAGTAGCTACGGGGGCGGACACCCTCGGCGCTAAGTACGGGTCAAATAACACACAAGCGGAGGACACCGCACGGGTGACAGATGAGTCAAAACTATTGGCGGACACCAATTGTGCGAATACTGACACACACCGGGCGGACACCCGGTGTGAACATGCATTACCCACACTCTCGCAAACGGTGGACGCCGTTCCCGCGAAAAACTCAGAGTACCTATTGGCGGACACCAATAGCGGGATCAATTACTGCTCTCCCTTGTACACCACGAAGACTGTGACGGACACCACACGTGCTGAACATTGCAATGCAGTCGCCTCGGGGGCGGACACCCCGGGCGGATGTAATTGGCCCCGTGGCACGCAAGCGGTGGACGCCGCGAGCGTTGTCGGTAAACAAAAAAATACTGGCGGGCACCAGTAGTGTGCAGAAGGACATACACAGGGCAGACACCCTGCGTAAGAATTTTTCAGTCACACAGCCCCGATTGGCGGACACCATTCGCGGGAACGACCGCGGCACGCAAGCGGTGGACGCCGCGAGCGTTGTCGGTAAACAAAAAATACTCGCGGACACCAGTAGTGTGCAGAGGGACATACACAGGGCGGACACCCTGCGTAAAGATTTGTCAGTCACACAGCCCCGATTGGCGGACACCATTCGCGGGTACGATACGGAACTGGCGGACACCATGACCGTGTCAAAAGCTCTCCCGGGGGCGGACACCCCGGGGGAAGCACTGTTGGCACGTAGGGCTAGCGGCGGACACTGCTAGGGCCGCCGACATCACAGAAGTAATGCGACATGATTGCGGGTCGAATTCAACGACTTCTCACTTTGGGGCGGGGAAAGATCCTTCGGCCCTAGAGAGTCCAAAAAATACAACCTTGTCGGAAAATTCAAAAACTCTGACCGATAGACTCGAGGTACAGAGAAGCAGACTCGCGTCAAGCACACACTCACTAGACGAGAAGCAATGCATCATTCGGAAGATGGCGGACATTGGTAGTGATTTGGTAAAGCTCCACGATGGAAGGCTGGGAGACGTCGCGAGGGGAATCGGCGGCACTTTGGTGTCACCGCCGTTGGACGTGAGCGACGTCAAGCAGTATTTCGGAGAGGAGAAGGGCTTTCCGGGTATCGACGACCTCATTGAGATAGTCGGCGAAGGAGCCCCGGCCCCCACTCTAGACTCGCAGCAAAACCTTAAGAAAGCCTTGGCATACGGCAACCACCGTAGCGTAGACGAACACCAAACGCAAGTGTGGGAAAAACTATGCGACGATGTCAAGCGATACAGGTGTATCGTCCTGAGAAAGCCGAACGCGTCGGATATACGTGGGATCAGAGTAAGGACCGTTTTAAACGGACCGACTTTTTTGTCAAAATTTTCGACAAGCAAAGTTTTCGCGCCCAACTTCGTTCCAAATATTTTTGAAAAAAATGGACAAACGCCTACATACAGGTTCCATTTTTTTGACACTTTCAAAGATTTTGACAAAAAGTCGGTCAGTTTAAAACGGCCCTAACCCCGTTGGAAGCGGTCCCAGGGAAAAAAGCGAGGATCATCAACGACTTCACTTTTGACCCAAGCACTAGCAAGGGGTCAAAAGGTGGGCTCAACCAAGATACCATTATGTCCGGAGTTCCACGTTGCCTGTGCGGCGAAGCCCTACCAGCTTTCCTCGAGGAGCTCACTAGCCTACGAGTAAGATGGCCAGACAAGAGAATCCTCGCAGCCAAGGCTGATGTCACCTCTGCGTTCAGAAATGTGAGGATATCACCAGATCATGCACACAACTTTTGCAACGTGATAGGAGACGTACTAATAGCGGATCTACCGCTGACCTTTGGCGGAGCAGCGTCACCAGGATTGTGGGGTGTGTTAGCCTCCGCTGCAGAGCACTCGCACCGCAACACGTCCCTCGCGACCGCTCGACTACTATCAGAAGGAATCGCAATGATGTCCCACGTGAAAATAAAACCTCCTTGGGAAAAAGGCACCCCAACCCCAATACCATCGTCAGCAGGCGTAAGACTGCATAGAGGCGGGGGACCCGCGGACGATTTCTTGGCCAGGGTCTACACTGACGATTTCTTGCTCACGAAGGTCCAGCATGACCCCACTGACCAATCGGCACTCATTGCGTCCGCCTCACTAGCGTCGGACCATGTCAGACGTTTGGCAAGGGAGAACTCGGAGAAACCCCCATTCTCGCCCCGAAGAAGAGCACTGACTGGGACACGGTCATAGAGGCCCTGGGGTACATGATAGACACGCATGCTGGCAGAATTGCAACTGCACCGGAAAGGGTAAGCGCGATTCGGAACATACTAGAGACAGATTGGCCCCACGATAGGAAGAAGGCCAGTGTTCGAGAAGTCCTCAGCATTGCAGGAAAACTGTGGAACCTCACTTATATTATCAGGGCCGGTGGGTACTTCGTGTGGTAACTGCTCCGCCTATCGGGTCTGCATACGCAGGCCAGTCGACACACACGGTCACGACGACTAGTGGACTTGGGTAGAGAGTTCCACGGCGATATCGCCTTCTGGAAGTGGGCCCTCAATCAGCCACTGGCACTTCGAGGGGAGTCCCCCAGCGCATCGTTCCTACTACACGTAAAACGAGCACCATCACGCCGTTACCTCTCAGACGCTAGCTTCACAGCGATTGGCGGCTACTGTCCCGAACTAAAGATTTCTGGAGATACACGATCGACTCATCGTTGTCTGCGGAGCTCAAGCGCAAGGCGCAAGAGAAGGAGACGTCGGACATTACGATCAATCTGTTAGAACTCGCGGGCATGTTCATGACGGCGTGGGTAGTCCAAATGATCTTGAAAGACAGACCTGTAGAAGAAGGGCAGTCGGTGTTGATGCGTGGAGACAACGTGTCGGCCGTCAGTTGGACTAACAGGTGTGGGGGGATCGCGTGACAGGCGCGCTAGCCTCATAATGAGACTCATGGGTAGGGTGAAAATTTCTTGCGGCTGGTGCCACGTGGCCAAGCACATCCCTGGTCGAAAGAACACACTTGCGGACGGGATCTCACGCTGGGAAGACAACGAGATCGCCGCCAACGTGAAAGTGCTCACAAAGGACTCAGGGTGGACACAGCAGGATATTGGAGAAGGGGGACGAGCGTTGCTCAGTCTTATCCTTCAAAGGAATTTGCCGAAAGAAGTCTGGACGACTCGGTATGGGACATTATGGTCTATGGAACAGAAAATATCTGACACGGCGGAAGGGGCGGATGGACACCGCTCCGTGTTTTTTCGGACGATCAACGAATTATCAAGCGAAATGAGATAGCGAGAAGTTGGAGCGGTGGACACGCCTCACATTCACTGTTTCATGGCGCCTTGATAACATGGATAGCCAGGGGAGGCAGAGTTGGTTCGGACGACCAAGTTTTTCTGTTCTCCCTTCAAGCCAAGTCGGGGCTATCCACGGTTTCGGCATGAACTTGTCGTACCTTGGAAAGGAACCTCGAAATGTGCCATTCCCCACGCTGTGCATACCCGATGATTGAATATCAGGAACACAGGGAAAGGATGGCCGGGGAGGCACGAGCGTCGAGGGAGAGCGGTTGGTCAACGCACTCATCTTCGGGTCCTTGGGAAGTGGTACCAACAAGGTGTATCAAAAGGATGTGGAACACGTGGAAGGAGGCTCGAGCAGGGGCGGGTTCGGGCCCGTGGCTCCGCGAGAGCGATGGGGTGGAAAGTGCGGTGCGTGAGCTGTCTGTGTTCATGGCTTGCCGGTGTTTCGGCCACAAGAACCAGAGTCAGACTATCCGCGGGTATCTCTCAGCCGTCAAGTACTTCCATAAGATGCACGTAGGATGGGAGTTGCCCACTTCGCATTTCCAGATCCTTGCCATGTTGAAGACCATTGATAGGGTCCACGCCAATACGCAGACGAAGCCTAAGGTTAGGAATCCACTTTCTTGGGACATGGTAGAGGCTGGAAAGTGCGTGGTCGAAAATTCGGGAGAATCGGGGAAGTTGATCTGGTGTGGACTTGCCCGCTCGTACTTGCTGATGTGCCGAGCCTCAGAAATCTGGGCGGACGACTCGGGGCTCGTGCACTCGGATTTCTGTCTGACAAGAGGAGACCTGAGTTTCTTTTTTGCGGTCCGGTAAGGGTTGCATGGGCAGACCGGAGGCAGGCCAGCCGAGTGGAAGTCACGTTCAGAGCGTCAATAGCAGATCAAAAACGTTTGCGAGCAACCGTCACTAGATCGGGAGAAGCGTTGAAGGTGTTACTCGATCTGTTAGATCTGCACCCCGAGCTCGGGAGTCATGCGCCGTTTATGTAATCGTGGGCACAAGACAGGTGGAAGGTGATTTCGAGGGCAGAGGCATCGAGACACCTCAGGTTACTCATGAGTGCGGCGGGTAGAGACCCACAGAAGTATGCGTTGCATTCAGGAAGAATCGGGGGGGCCACGCACCTAGCAAGCATGGGGGCGTCGGTGATTCAGATCCAGAGAGCCGGGAGGTGGAAATCATCGGCTTTTATGGTGTATGTTAGGGCGGGGGGTGAAGGAGCAAAGTTTGTGTCTCAGGCCCTTACGGAACCCGAGGAGTGACCTGGGAGCGGTTCGGAGGAGTAGGTCATCGGACATGCCTAATGGAGTAAGATATGTTTAGGCCAGAGGCCGAAACAATAGTAATGATAGTAGGGCAATCTTGAGAAGTTTGCAGCGGGTTAGTCCGATAAGATAACGTTGGGAGCAAGGCGGCATTTTTCCTGCGCTCTCAATTTGTTTCATGTGTCTTGGGGTTTTCTTTGGTTGCCTGCAGAAAAATAATACAGAATTCTTGAGCAAACATAAATTTACGCGGTATTTTCAGATTTCGGAATAAGTACCCCCACCCCGAGAAAAGTGCACCTTTGTGCAGGGGAAAATATTGTGAATATTTGCCCGAACGGACCATACAACGTATCGCATCATGTCCTTTTGGAAGTCGTGTGCTTTCCAAACGGCCCTTGAGGAGTTTGGTGGTTGGTGTTTTCTTAATAATATCGTGTCTTCTTGAACGGCGAAACGTTCCAAGGGCGTAGGTGTGCTTCGATTTGCTGTGCGTGCTGTGCGATACTTTCACCACTTGTTTGTGCGCTCCCCACATGCTTTGCGGTCGTTTCGTGAACGTTTTGGTTGGATAGTGTAATCATTTTATTTTTCGAGGGCGTGTGTTCCCGTTTGACAAGCCGAAGGGCTGACCCAAGTCGAGCTGAGTTTTCTTTGCCGTGGACCGCCTGTACTTTTGGCATGAAGTATGAGGCAGGCGCCATGTATCATATCGCAGACATCTTGTACAGCAGTAGTCGTGGAGGGTGCGGAGTGTTGAGTGAAAATCGAGTCCCTTCATCTGTCGCTTATCATGTCTTGCTCAAGTTAGAGTTGGGTGTTGCCTTTGCTGTGCTGTGGTGATGCTGCATGTAGGAGTGCGCGCCGTTGATGACAATCAGTGGAGGGAGGAGGTAGACGGGGCGTGTACGAAGTGAAGTGCTGCTATCAGTGTTGCACTTGTTTATGGACGGCAATAATGATCAGACGAAGGAGGAAGTGGAGTGAACTGTCGGCTGCCGGCAGTAGTACAAGTTTTATGTTGCCCTTCATTGTCGCGGCTGCTCTTGTTGGCTTGTCGCAGAGCGGCAGCGGAGATCAGTTGGACGTTGCTACTCTCGAAGCTGATAAGGGGTTACAGATTGCAGATCGCCAAGGCCGGTGCGCCTGAGCTTCGGTTACCGGGGATCCTCATGTGGCACACGCCATTCTACGCGTATGTACCATCAGCTTTGCGAGCGGCGAATGCCTGTGTATTGAATTGTGGCGCGTGTCGTTCCGCTGTTTTACAGTTAAAACATGTGGCGGAAGAGAAATAGACGGTGATTCGAGGCATGAACCAAGATGTTTGATCGTAAACCACCCGACCCGACCGCATGTAACGTGGGGACAGAAACCGCAAAAGAAGGCAAGGGTGGAAGCCGGGTATCACCGGGAGTAGTGTGTGTCCTTGGTCCTTTGCCCTTCCATCTTTCACAAGTTCCGCAAACTCTACGGCACGGGGCACGTTCGTGCGCGCTACAAGTACTGCTTGGCGCAGATCGTTCATACAGGACACGGACGCGCCGATAGCCGGTAGGGCATGGTCGCCCTGCATTCCTCACAAGACTCGAACTTGTCAAGTCGCCGATTTTCAGCTTAAACTACTGCGTGGCTTGAACATGGAAGTAGGCGGCTAGTGCAGACACAAGACTAGACGAGTTGAGAAGATTCATTGCGAAGAGAGACCGCAGACACAGTCTAGACTAGCTGAGAAGAGTCATCGTGAAGAGAGACAATGAATGTCGGGGCAAAGTGTAGCCGAAGAACTCCAACCGTTCAATCTTCTCTGTTCATTGCCCCTTTTATGTCTCGAATGTTTCCGGAACACTCCCTCCACCGAGTGGTTCACGGGCAATGTACCCTCTCCACTTTTCGGACAACAAACCGCACACGTACATACACACATCTACCGCACGAATGAAAGGCATCCCCCTCGCCAAACAGCCATCACCACGTAGCCAATCGTCGCCCTTATCACCGGCGTCACACCGGGCACTCCCAGAAACGAAAGAAGGGGTGCCAATTGAAAATACCCTTCCACGCGAAAGGTATTCCGGCCCCGAAGCATCATGCGGCGGGCATGTCCTCCCGCGCCGCATACCCAAACACTACCGATTAATACTAAATACAGCAGCACCACCAAAACGGGCGGCCGAACAGATGGTGAGCACCGAGGAGCAGAGCATCTGCCACACGAATGTACGGGCCGTAGACTATTAAGTCTTGCATCGCAAAATCACTCAACAATGAATCAGCGTGCCGCCGGACGAAAAATCGCCCCCAGGCAAAAGAGGAGCCTCGTTGCCAGCTCTTCGAACGGCAAACCCCGCAACAACGCCTAAAACACCCCCCGAACTACCATGTGGAGCGGAAGTCATCCGGAACGAGGACACGAAGGCACCCCAATCTACCAAACCCACCCATTCAGTGTTGTCTATCGCACGACAGCCTTGTCGCCGGGAACACTCTTGCCGGGTCGGCTTAAGTCATCCGACACGGGCGTTGCGGCATCGCTCTCCGACTCTCCTCCTTCCACCAGGCGCCGGCTGCCCATTTCGAGGGTCGAGTACGCGGGGCCTCCCCCGCCTCCCGCCCTCATCCTCCTCCCGCCGCTCGTCGTCGCGGCAGCGCCAACGCCAGCACGGCGAGACGAACAGCAGAGCACGGAGAGGCCGCCACACAAGCTAGCTTGCACCTCCACCAGCTCCGACAGCTGCTCCACGCTCTGTGTGGTAAGGTGTACGGGGCATCGGAGACCGAACAGGTCAACGGGGGAAAGCGAACTCTGCTGTTGAAAAGCCGGGGTCGGAAAGGAGGGTGGCCTCCCGCACCAAACGTTCACCCTCCGAACCAACTATAATCCAGCTTCGCTTGTACGGCAACGGCGTTGGGCATAGAGGGCAAGATCATTCAGACTAAGTAAACCGCACCGTTTGGCAGCCACAAGCGTTCGGCATCCAGCCACAGCGGTGAACAAGATCTCAAAGCTGTAGTCACGGACTTGGAGCCAGCGTCCACGTCAGACCAGGAGATCCCGGTAAAGCACGAAGAAAAACGAAGAAAAACCCTCATCAGGATGCCCAATCCCAACTATTTACCCAACTCAACTACGCACTTGGTGTAATACATACATATTGCTCAACAATACCCAACCCCAACAGCGTAAACCAAGACCCCAACAATTGCCACATAACTATACGACGCCCCAGACAAACGCACCTGGGAAACAAGCGCTAGTCCAGAGGACACCCGTTCCATCTCCGACTCCAAACGCCGCACTCTCTCCAAGTAGATCGAGTCCTTGGGCGTCTGAAGCGACGATTGGGTTCGTTCGCAGACAGGCGTGTTAAGGTAATGGGGAGTCCAGCAGCACCAGAAAACATGAAACGGAAAAGCACACAACCAACCAAAGAGGCGCGTCGCGTAACGGACAGGCACTTCGTTCATTGTCATAAACGAACCAAGCACTGGCTTCAGCGGCAAACGGTCAAGGAGATAACATTTTGCCCGTGTCTGTGCTGCACCGCCAACTGACCCCAAACACACCATGTCTCAATGACTTCTCTTCCTCTCACAGAAAACGCTGCAATGACGACGCGATGAGACACCGCATCTGCTACGGCATAACATGGTGAACAGGAATCTTTACACATTCAGCGTGTCGTCCACCCGTGGAAATACTGTTGCTGCTGTTGCCTTCGTCGATCGCGCTGGGGCATGCATTCGTGCAGCGCACCACAGCACAGCAGAACAAAACACACGCATACACAACCAGCGAACCCGCATTTATACGAATATGAATATCGAACCCTCAGACGCCCTCCCCTGGAGCCCCGAAATCCAAGCACTTGCCTCGGAAAAACAACAAAGGCCCCGCAGGAGGAACACACGCCACCAACGGTACAGCTCACAAAAACACGGAAAGACTCGTGTCGGCCTGTCTCCTTTTCAACCCCCCCCACCTACCTGATTCCCAAGCCTGCTGGACCCCCGCCAGAAGCCAGGACCCCCCCCCTGGTCTCCGCTCGCCGCCGAGCCGGAAGGCGAGTCCAATCTGTCCGATATGACACTCGAGTTCGCGTCCTAGAGAACCATCAAGATGAAAACCGTCCATTGGGTGAGGTGTTAGACTGGGGGGGGGGGGGGGG